TCCCCTCTTAGAGTGAATGGAATAAACTTCTCTAGAAATAGCTGCAAAAAAGGATCCCAGTTAAGTGAAGGTGAACCAGCTGGTATGCTCTGCTCAAAATTTTGCCACCACCTCTTGGCAGAACCTATCATCTGGAACACTGCAAAGTCGACCACATTGGTCTCAATAATACCCATGTTCCGCAATACCTCATGGCAATGATCCAAGTAATCCTGTGGGTCCTCAGAGGGTGCACCGCTATAATGAATTGGAAAGAGCTTGGTGAACTTATCCAACCTCATCAATCCCTCAAAAGTCATCGTGGTCCTCTCCCCAGGCTATGTAGCAACTATGGGCTGAACTACCCCAATTGCTGGAGGTGCCAGAGTCTGGTATAGGGGAGCCATCTGCTCTAGAGTGTGAGTGGCGAGAGTCTGTGCTCCTCCTCCAGCCTGAGAGACAGTTGGTGACATAGGAAATGCTCTGGTCTGAACCACACTCCCCATGAGTCCAACTAAGTAGACTAGAGCATTCTGAAGTACGGAACTAGCAATGAATCTCTATGGGACCTGAGCGGGTCCGACTGGTGAGGCCTGAACTGGGACCTCCTCCTCATGGTCAGGCTGAGGCTCCACCATATGTGCTGCTGCTGCTCGTGCTCTAGGCTGAGCTCTGCCTCAGCCCTGCCTCGACCCCGGCCCCTACCCCTGGTAGTGGATACAATAGGGGGCTCTAGCTCCTGTCCGGCTGTAGACACTGCACGAGTTCTCACCATCTGCGAGTGAACAAGAGTAGAACGGTTCAAACTTCAATAATGGAAATAAACCGCACGATAGAGAAAGAAAGAAGTGAAATTTTCCTAAAGCCTTATAGCCTCCGACAGATAAGCACAGACATCTCCGTACCGATCCTCTAGACTTTACTAAGATTGCTCATGACTCGTGAGACCTAGGCAACCTAGTGCTCTAATACCAACTTGTCATGACCTGTAATTCCCACCCTCGGGAATGTGATGGGGCCTTAAATTTCAATTGCTAGGCAAGAAAACTTTAGCCGTACTCATTAACCATTGTTTAACAATATAAATCAAATGACAATGATAAAATTGAATAGTCTGAAATAATGTGATAAACTAATAAATGACGAAATCCAAATACAAATCCCGGAACTAGTGTCACAAATACATGAGCATCTAGAGTGCTACAGATAATAGTCAGATTTAAAACATAACTGTCTGAATCAAAATATATAGCTAAAATTGTATAGAAGGGGACTTCAGGGCTGCGGAGGCCGTGCAGCTATACCTCAAGTCTCAATTAATAGCTAGATTCGAGCAATCTCACTCAGCGCTGCTGGGACCAACTCCGATATCTGTACAAGAAGTGCAGAATGTAGTATGAGTACAACCGACTCCATATACTCTATAAATGTTGAGCCTAACCTCAACGAAGTAGTGATGAGGCTAAGGCGGGTCACTGACAATAACCTGTACGCAATAATAATAATAACAGGAAAGATAGGAAATGGAAATAAAGAAGTAATCTCATGAAAACGAACTCAATATCCAACTACCAGAGAGCACAAAATAACAAGTCTTATAAATTCATCTCAAAATACCGAGGCAAATCCAACAGTAACAAACTAATATAACATGTACAATCCGTTGAGGTGCGCAACCCGATCCCACCATATCATCATCTGTCAATATCATAATCCGTCCTTATTCCACCATTTCAATTCGTTAACTTTTCATTTCCGTTGCGTCGTGCAACCCGCTCCCCAAACAATTTCAATTAACAATAGCAATTCAACAACCAAAATTTACAAGGATTTTTACATCAAGAGAGTAAATGTACGAGGCAATGAAGAATCACATAATAATCAAAGAATCTCTAACAACTCGAATGACTCAACTTTGCCAACTCATCAGTATCTACCAATTAATAGCTTATACAAGTGAAACTACCTTATTGAAGGCAACAAATATTACAAATCTATAAGGCAAGTAAGGCATGACAATTTGGATATGCAAGTAAAGCAAGTAGAGACAAGTAAAGCATGAAATCATTGAAGAAATGGACAATTTAATACAAGGATAACTAAATGACAAGTAGCAATTATGGCATGGAAGTCAAATAAGCATGTAGCAATTAATGCAAGGAACAAGTTATATCACGAAGTAATGAAAACATGGAAGCAAGTATCATAACGGCACACATACACCCGTCACCTCGCATATACGCCGTTTCCCACATAGTTCACATAACATATAGTTCAAGGTTTCCCTAACTCCCATAAATCAATGTTAGACCCAACACTTACCTCACTCCAACTCAAGCAATCAATCAACCACGGCCTTGCCTTTTGAACAAGCCTCCAAACCAATCAAATCTAGGAAATTATTGACCAAATAATTCGAAATAAGCTTTAGAAACTATCCACAAATGAAAGGAGTTCAATTTTGATTATTTTTGAAAAAGTCAACAAAATTTAACCCCAAGCTCGCTTGGTCAAAACCTGATTACCCATTCACCCCCGAGCCCGATTATGTGATTTGTTTAGAAATTCGACCTCAATTCGAGGTCTAAATCTCAATTTTAAAAAATCCTCAATTCTACCAAAATCCTTAATTTCTACCATGAAAATCCTAAATTTGATGTTGAAATATCATGAAATGTAATGGGTAATTGAAAGAAAATGGATTAAAGTCACTTACTAATGAATTTGGGAAGAAAAGCCTTTTGGAAAATCACCTCTAGAGTGTTCAGGGTTGAGAAATCGTGAGAAATAAGCTAAGTCCTGCTTTCCCCTTCTTTTACCCAGTTGCAGGTGTCGCAATTGTAAAGTCTTGTTCGCAATTGCGAACATCGCAAATGCCAGACAAGGGTCGCAAATGCGAACCCTACCTCAGAGCCACAAAAGTCGCAAATGCAAAAAAATATTTGCAAATGCGAAGTCCCCACCTTCGCAAATGCGACCAAAATCTTCGCAATTGCGAAGGTACTCTACTATCGCCAGGAATCTCAAATGCGACCAAGTGATCGTAAATGGTCCTAAGTTGTTCGTAATTGCAAACCATTTCCTCGAAAATGCAAGGTTACCCAATCCCAGGACATGCTTGCAAATGCGAACTATTATTCGTAAAAGCGAGGCTCGCAATTGTGATCCAAATCTCGCAAATGCGAGATCTGCAGCAAACACCAGAACTAGTGTTGCACCATCAATCCTAGCATTATCCAAACTCATTTGAAACACGTTCGAAACTCACCCGAGCCCCTCGGGCTCTAAACAAAACATGCACACAAGTGTAATAACATCATACGAACTTACTTGCGCAATCGAATCACCAAAATAACATCTAAATCTACAAATCAATCCTCAAAATGAATGAAATTTCAAAGTGGAACTCAAGAATACTAGAATCACATTTAAGCATCCGAATCATGTCAAATCGATTCCGAATTGAACCAAATGTTGTAGACAAGTTTCAAATAGCGATACCTATTCCAAGTTTCAACATCAAAATCTGAATCCGTTAGCTATGAAGTCAACTTATGGTTAAACTTAGTAATTTTTCAACTTTAAAAAATGTGCTAGTTTTCGGCAAAATTTGTCAAAACAAGTTTGTAACTTTCGAATTCAATTCCGGGTATACGCCCAAGTCCCAAATTATGATATGGACCGACTTTGATTGTCAAAATACCGATCCGGGTCTGTTTACATAAAATGTTGATCGTAGTCAACTCAAACCATTTTAAGGCAAAAATTCACATTTTCTTCAATTTTTCACATAAAGACTTTCCGGAATAAGTGATTCTCACTTATTGTTAGTTCAATACATGGATTATATATGGATTTTAACATGAAAATTTGTAGAAATTGTGGAAATTTGGAAGAAAACCTAGAAATGGTAAATTTGGATTTTGACCACGAAATTAGACATGGAATTAGGAATAAATTATATATATGAGTTCGAGGTGCTATGGGTAATGTTTATCTTCAAAAAGTTTTGGAATCCGGGCACGTGGACTTGGGAGTTGACTTTGTTGATGTTTCGAGCGGAGTTGAAAATTATTATAAGTTGTTAAATTATGAGTATTAGAGTATATTTGGATTAGTTTGCATGTTGTTTGATTAGTTTTGGATCGTTCAACATCTATTTGAGGTGTTAAAGAGGTGTTGGAGCCGGTTATATAATTTTGGAGCGAGGTAAGTCTCATATTTAACCTTGTAAGGTGCTACTTGTTGTGGGTGCTACGTACGTACAAGGCGACGAGAGTCCGCATGTAGCTAAAAGCATGTTTATGTCCGGGTAGACTTAGGACTTTATCATGCAATATTTGTATTATTTGAACTCAACATGTTTTTAAGTACTTGAATTTATAATGAAAAATTTGATTTGGGATTATGTTAGACCAATCTTCACTACCATGATTTGTTTGGCAAGATATTTGATTGTGGGTAAAAGTCATGTTTACTTTATGCTCCTATTCTGGTGTTGCAAAAATGTGGCCCGTAATTCGATGAGTTTCTTCTCTTCATGTGGATCGGGTCGAACGCCTCCGCAGTATATTGAGAAGCATATATGGTTCGCGTCGGTAGACCCTCGGCAGTGTACACACTATTCTAGATTAGGCCGTACAACCTCAGCATAACTCATGCGCAATATCGCTAGCAGTCCGAATATTCATGAGATTTTCCTTTGATTGAGACCTGGCATTTATATGGTATTCCTTATCTGTTTGAGATGGCACTTGATATTTCTTATCTGTTGAGATAGCATATGAGATTTGAGAAATTTATATTGTCACAATGTTGGAGGATTTTTTCTTGTTATAGTTCTTACCTCATTATTGCTGCTGTGTTTCTTATTCAGTTATAAATTATCATATTGATTTATTGAACAACTAGTAAGTATCGATGTCAAACCCTCATCATTACTTCTCCAAGTTTAGGGTAGATACTTACTAGGTACGTATTGATTTACGCACTCATGCTACATTTCTACACTTATTGTGCAGGTGTATATTTTTGGTGGTCATTTGGGCACAACGACGTAGCTATTGTGGGGACTTTATGGTTAACTGCATCCTATGTTGCAATCCGCAGTACACGGAGTCTCTTTCATATTCATTTATGTTATCCTGTCTATTTTACATTCAGAGAAATGTATTTGTATTGTATTTCTTACTAGTTTCTCATGCACTTGTGACATCGGATTTTGGGATACTCTAGTAGGTGTTTATGGTTTGGCTTAATATTGTCACCTTTTATTTTATATCTTACTAATATTATATGTATTCATGATTTTAAATGCATTAAATTCTTTATTTAATAAAACTTATGATTTTAAAAGTAATAAAGTGAATAATTATTTAAGTGGTTCATCGTTGGCTTGCCTAATGGCGACGTTGGCTGCCATCACGACCTATAGTGAGTTTTATATCATGACAGCTTGGTATCAGAGCTCTAGGTTCACTTGGGTCTCACGAGTCATGAGCAAGTCTAGTAGAGTCTTGCGGATCGGTACGGAGATGTCTGTACTTATCTTCGAGAGGCTACAAGGCTGTTAGGAGAACTTCCCTTCTTGATTCCTTGTCGTGCGGTTTGAATCCATTAAAGCTTATGTTTTCATTTTGCTTTCTATTATTTCCTATACGATGTTGAGCGTCTGTCATCAATTGGGCATCGAGGAGTGGTAGTGGTGCTGCAAAGGTGGTGCAGGATGTTTTTACCTGCATATTCGGACGAGCTATATTTGTCACCTTGTGGAAGGGCATTCTGTCGTTTCAACTCAGTGGTAGTGTTGTCTACGGTTGGAGGCTATGCACAGTGTACAGTGATGTTTATGTGTTGTTATCGCACAGTGCTGGTGAAAATGGTAGGATGCTTAAATATATGTCGCGACAATGAATGACTCGAGAGGAGGACTAATTTATTTATGATTTGGAGAATTCCACCGAATGAGAGGCAATTGGACTATGGTTGTTCAGTCCTTGGTTGACGGAGTAGCGAGATTAGATATTTTTGAACTTGGTGGAATTCTTGGTTGTGATGTGGTGTCGTCGTCCTTGTTTGAATGTATTAAGGCTCGTCGGTATGATGCTCTTCTTGGTTTGCCTTCGAGGCAGGGTGTTGTGAAATGGTATCTAGAAAGCTGTTATCAGAGATGGCGGTGTGTGGCAGCTTTGGGGTCGAATCAGTGTTTCTAATGTTGATGGTTTAAGAAAGATGATCTTTATGGAGGCTTAGAGCTGGTGACAACTTATACATTCGTGTGCTACAGAGATGGATTATGATTTCAGGCAGTATTTGGTAGCGAAGGAGGAGGAAAGACATGGTGGGAGGTGTCTCACGGTGGTTGAATTGCTAGCAGGTCGAGTATGAGCAGCAAAGGTCAAGTAGTTCGCGCCGGAAGATGGTTAACTCAGAGTGAGAATGTTAGCTTATCATATAGATTTTGTGGTGGGATAGCCATATGCTTTGAAAAAGCTTGGTACGATTATGGTCATGGTGAATAAGGGACTAAGTCTGTGTATTTCATTTGAGATGGTGGCTTCTATTCTTCGGAAGTTTGGATACGACAGAAAGGGTTGCTTGGGATGTAGTATGACTGCAAGCTTTGAATGCATTGCTAGACCTTCATTCGATGTTAATCGGAGCGGAAGTGCATTTACGGCCGGTGGGCGAGTGTGGGCTTAGCAGGATTAACTAATTTCATGGTGACAGTAACCAAGGCGATGTCGTTGGAAGATGTCAATATGGAGTTACACAGGTGGCTATCTCCTGTGAGGATGTTTGGAGTTGCATGATTTCTGATGAAGTTCCTATGAAGAGTTCTACTTTCTATCTAACGAGGAGCATGTGTTACGATGTGATCTTGTATCGCTTGGGAAGATGGCGCGACTATTATGAAGCTGACTGTGCATTTAGGACTGCTAATTCGAGATGTGTGATGATTAGTGCAATAAGAGCTTGTGCGAAATTTGGTAGAGTAACGGTGTGGCATCATGGTAGCAAAAGGGAGAAGTCATTGTTGGTCCTTGGATTTTGCAATTGTGGCTTAAAGCTAAGTGGGGGAGCCTACCGCCTACGATTGGGTCGTGTGGTTATGTGCCTTGGCAGTATTGGGTTATCGGTACACTGGTGGATTAGTTATGACTAAGGGAAGAAAACAACAGGGGTAAGTCGAGCAAGGAATTTGATGTATTTGTGCTACATTTCGCCTTATCAGTCAGATTTTGGGATGACTCAGATTTCATACTTCTTGTGGATGTGATGTACAAGGAAAAGAATTCATCCGGTTGCTTCTTTGGAAGTGTTCATGTGCTAGAAGAGAACTAGAGTTTGGTTAAATATTTAGGACCAGTTTAGAGTGGCTGACTCTCAACAATGGTTCTAGTGGGTTCAAGAATTAAAGTTTGGTACCTAAGGATTTTTTGGGTTTGTTATGTGGCTGAGGATTGGGTTTTGCAGCTGAGTGTGACGGGTACTTAGAGAATTTTTATGTTATCATCGGGTCTGCGATGAAGTATTAGAGAAATGGCAGAAATAGCTTTGGATTCACAGAAGGTCTTTTAGAATGGGTGTATTAGTTGGAGATATTATTGGTGTATAGGGAGGGTATAAAATGGCTAATGAGCATTGAGACAACACGGTCTCATGATTTGGGATACTCAGGATGAGTGTTGTTTAAGGTTCGTTGTGTGTTGGCATAAGGCTATTATTTTGAAGGCAAGTCAGGAGTAAATCGGAAGAAGTTGAGTAAGTTAGTAGTGGTTTGAATGAGCATGGTTATGGAAATGATCGGTTCCTTTGGTGTGGTAAGGCTATATAGGTGATTTGTGGTCGTACGTGAAGTCTTGAAAACTACAGTAATTTGATTGATTTGGAGGTATTTTATTTTGATGACTTTGTTATGTGTATATAGATTTCGGAAGATTTATGGCAGTTTAGACCACGACTTGAGGTTATTTTCTGCAGTTATGGGAATTCGGCTGTGTGTTGCAATTGTTCTTCTGAAATGAGTTAAGTGAAAGGTTTCTAGCCGATGAAGTGTTTATTTTACTGGTGGTTCAGGGTGATGATTAAATCCTTGTACTCTCGCATAACAACATGATATGTGCGGTGAGCGGTATGGAAATGGGAAGTTTAGGATCAAGGTTGCGGTTCAGTTTTGATAAAAATGTCACGGGCTTGGAGGAGCGTAGGAAGATTCCAGATGTTCAAAGTGTGTTGGCGCTATCTTAGTGCCGCCTGGGAGTGGTGTTCTATGGAAGAGGCATTGTGTATTGATTTGTGAATTCTTGATTTGCATCACAGTGATAGTATGGTTGGTAGCCATGGATGTGCTAATTTTGCTACCTGGGGCGGTAGGTTGTGGGAGTAACTTCCACATGATGAATGTGTAAGTGTGATATGTTAGTCATTTAAGTGGTAGAGATTAAAATCAGGTATGAAGATTTTGGTAATGTCGCGAATTGGAGAGTTTATGTCTGGGAGGTGCTCTATTCCTCTAGTTGCGGACTGTGGAAGTTTGTTCTGGATTTGATAGTTGATCGTATGTGTCATGAACAGGGTCATTGTGGATCTTTGGAAGGTTAATGGCCCATTATGGGATGATCGGAATCGGCTTGTGGTCCGTTGGAAGGCTTATTGTGAACGTATATTCTACACCAGATCATATATGCGTATTCAACATAGCATTGCTTATGGATGAGTCTTCGGGCGTAGTGGATGTTATTCATGTTGCCGTCTATTTCATATGTTACTCTCTTATGCCATGCGGGTTATGACACAACTTGATTATTCACACGTGTGTTTTGACCTCGCATAGTTGTGGTATTATGTGAGCGAGATGGCTCTGGAGATATTGGTTGTTTGAGGCACCTTAGTCGTGCTTGGCTTTTGTAGCACATGACGCAATCTGTCTCCCTAGGGTTGTGGTTATGCACTTGGCGTGCTTGTGGTCGATATTCAGGCATTTCGTGGGTATGAGCATTTTGGCTCGGTAGGTATCTTCTTATTGATTGTTATGTGTGGATCGGCTAGCACGCCGCCACAGGTATGATGTGTAGATCGGGTTGCATGCTAAAATTGTGAGATGTTGAGTACGGTTCCTTGTACTTATTTTGTGTGTTTTGTTTCTTATCTCTGAGTTAGGTTCATAGCATTTGTTGGGTTATTTTATTCGTTAGGCGGGCCGGATAGTTCTGTATTTGGGATCGTTTTCCTTATTGGTCATATTCGAGTTGTATCTTGTTGGCATATTGATGGCGTCGTGTGAGGTTTTAGACGTTGTTTGAGGTGTCTTATTGCCCGAGCATCTTGTACTAGGTGAGACAAGGTTATTGGACCTGAAATCAGTGCGATCGAATTTATGTATTGTATATTAAAGAGAAAATGGCACTAATCAGTTCAGAGTGAGGCAATGGTTCTTGTCAAGCGGAGAGTCTCCATGGGTTATTGATTTGGCGAGTGGTTATTAGTTTCTATGCATCTATTTCATCGTTGCAGTATTGCGAGAGTTGGAACATGACTGGATGTGTTATGAGGTATTTTATGGGCAGCGGATTTGTGAATTTGCAGCTGTTGCGGTTGGAGGAAGTAACTATGGAAAATGCGTTATGCGGTGCATTGTGTGATTAAAGCATGGGGTGCATAGATCACTTTTTGGTTCAGCGTGTCGAGATTGATACGGTCCGTGTGTTGGAATCAGGCCTAGTAGAGAATTTGTGATGTTGGAATTTGGTTCTAAAGCTTCAGGGCTAAGGTAGCTGGAAGGATCTTCAGTCTGGCTCGAGCTAATGTGCTCATATGAGTTGTGGTGGCAGGGATAGGTGCAAGAGATGTTAAACAATGATTTTGGGCAACTCAGTAACCGTTCTTGGCATGTTCGAGGACGAATGTATGTTTAAGAGGGAGAGAATGTAACAACCCAACCGATCATTTTGAGCTCTGGCGCGTCGTTAGGCAGTTTGAGGCCTTCAGTAGCTTCACTTTATGTATTATGACTTGCACGTGTGGGTAGAATCGGTTTTTGAGGAGTTCGGAGTTGATTTGGAAGGATAATTCTCAATTTAGAAGCTTTAAGTTGAAAGAGTTGACCAAAGTTTGACTTTGGAGTAAACGACCTCGAAATCGAATCGAGATTTAAAGGTTCCAATAGGTTTGTATGATGATTTTGGACTTGGGCGTATGTTCGGATCGAGTTTTGGGTGGACCGGGATCATTTCGACACTTAAGGTGGAAAGTTGG